GTCTCTGTCTGTCTGTCCTTTCTGTCTGTCCTTCCGTCGGTTCGTCCGTTCGTCCGTTCATCCGTCCATCCGTCCGTCTCTCTCTCTCTCTCTCTCTCTCTCTCTCCGGTCTCGATTTTGTCTCTCCCCTTGTCATCACCAGCATGGTCATCCATATCTTCGTCTCTTTTTTGTGATGGTCCTCACCCTAGGACGTCTTGCGACGTCGTGTTTTATGTTGTAGATATGTCAGTGTTATTGTGTGTGTGTGTCTGCCATTGACACCTTTTCACTCCACCATCCTCATCAGTCTCTCTCTCTTTCCTTCCCCCTCTCTCTATCATAACTCCAGGATCATCGCCACCATCGTTGTGGTCATCCCCACTACCACCGTCATGGCACGTGTGTTGTTACTCTCTCTCTCTGTCTCTCACGCTCTCGCTCTCCGTCTCTGTTTCTCCCCCCCGTGCTGTCAACACTGAGGTCACAGTCGTCGCTATGCTTCAGACTGCCGTTGCACTGCCATTGCACTGCCGTTGCTATCGTCACGGCCGTGCACACCAGCGTCACCATCATCATCAGAGAAGGAGACCCGGGAGAGAGGGGGAGCAAAAAAAGGGAGACACAGGGTGGAGAACAGAGGGAGAAAGAGAGACAGGGGCCGTTCGATACCGCTTTTTTTTTTTTTTTTTTTTTTTTGACGATTTCGCGATTTATGCATGTCATCCTTGCACAGAGGCCGTTCAATACCTCTTATCGGTATCAGTAGGATCTTCGGCCAACACAGGTGTGAGTGGTGTGTGGGAGACTGTTGGCCTTGGACGCTACTGCTATTTGATCGGGGGTGGGGGACGATGAAAAGGGAGGCGCAGCTACTGGCAAAATGCTTGGTCTTTGCGTTAGCCAGACCCCCACTGGCGGCCCCAACCAATCTTTGATCACCGTTGTTTGGGCGGGGGGCAACATGCAATCCATTCATTGTGAGGTGGCTATGCTTTCAGGGGTCCCCTCTATATAGCCTTAGAAGTAGTGGTAGGTAGGTAGTGGAAGGCAAAAAGACCTCGAGAGAAGAATGTAGTGTAGTTTTATGTTTGTGTCGTTCCAATTTTAACGAATGTCGGGAAGGGCAACAAAAAGTGATTCTAAAGTTTGGACTCTGGAGAACATTGTTCTTCTTTTTTGATGCACTCAGTGGATCAGTGAAGGTGTTTACTCACATCCCTGAGGTATATTGAACAAAAAAAAGAAAACATAATTTAAAACATGAAAAAAAACAAAACCGGCTGAAAATCTTGGGGGTTCCCAAGAGTGCAATTTTTTGACGTGTTTTTCTCTTGTGATGGTGTGCCGCTCCATATTGCAGAGACTCCTTATCATTGATGAATGTGGTCATCTTCCGCACGAAGAATGCCCAGGTGCGCTCCTATCAGCTATGGTGCCGTTTGTGAGGAAGGTCCTTGAGAGCTCGGGGAAGAGCCAAGTGGGATGTGGTGCCGTGTAATCTGGTTCTCTAGTCTTCAGTGCATAATAACATTACCTGAATGAATAATGATACGTCTAGCTTTGTAGAGGACGTATGGTATCAAGATAAGTTTACAGCGTACATCTCTTCTAAGTGAACGCAAGATCTTGAGTCAATCGTTCATACACGTTAGAAAACAACCAGCAATTGCCAGTCGGAAGGGGAAAAGAGGCAGCCGCGTGCAAGCAGCAGTCATATAGGCAGGCAAGGGACTAGCGCAAAGGTGGAGGGAAGAGGCGAGAAAGTGGTTGGGAGTGGGAGGGAAGAGAGGAGAAAGTGGTTGGGTGTGGGAGGGAAGAGAGGAGAAAGTGGTTGGGCGTGGGAGGGAAGAGGGAAGAAAGTGGTTGGGGGTGGGAGGGAGAGCGGAGTGCAGTTGAAAATAGACCTTTAGCGAAAAAGGGCAGAGAGGGTTTGCCACAGAGTGTGGATTTTTTTTTTTTTGTTCTTCCCTCTTTTTGTTTTTTTGTGATTGGAAGTGGGAAGTGATGTTTTGTTGTTTTAAGGTATATATCTCACTGGCGAGTCAGACTGTCATTTTGTTGGTCACAGAACTCGCTTGTTGCGTGGTGAGTGGTGAGTGGGAGGAGAGGAGTCCGAAGGAGGGAGAGAAGAGTTGGCAGTGGCTGTTTTGGGACCGGTTTTGGGGCAAAAGAGGCTTGGCCATCAGGGAGCAGCAGCTCCAAATAACTGGGAAGAATGTGGTTGAATCAAGCTTGAATGAATGGCTAGATTCAGATCTATATGTCGACATATGATGTGCCCAGTGTAAGGTTGAGCGGCCAGCACAGCAGAAAGGACAGTGGAGGGGAGCTACGACGGAGGCAATGATAGAGAGAGAGAGAGAGANAGAGAGAGAGAGAGAGAGAGAGAGAGAGAGAGAGAGAGAGAGAGAGAGAGAGAGAGAGTCCCTTTTCAGTCGGGGATGGAGGGAGGGAAAGAACTCATCACCAGATGATGGCTACCGTCTTCACCCGAATAGAACTCCCGGTCATTATAGCTGTATTTGGCACAACTTTCAGCCCAGATATGGCAATAATCACCGGGCGTTCTATTCGGGTGAAGACGGTAGTAGTCGTCGTTCCTGTTTTGGAAATTTCATCTTGTGATCTATGAACCCTACTTTTCCCGTGTATAGGTTGTATCGTCAGATGGTGGTATGTGCTGCCATTTTCGGCATTGGTATACGTGCGCAGTAGCAGGCATTGCTCAAAGGACGGCGATAGTTGGGAAGGACAGAAAGGATTCTGAGAGCAGGCAAGCTTTAGCACTCGCCATGTACCTTGTTGGCGACCAGATATGCAGTCAAGGAGTGTAAGTCCTTTGTGTATTCGCAGATGACAGGGTACAAATGTAGGCGCTTAGAAGAGTCGGCGATTTAGGATGAGGAGGAGGAGGAGGAGGAGGAGGAGGGGGGTGCATGTGCAGGTGACCTGGTGACAGTGGTGAGGAGATATAGGAGGAGGATTGTTTTGAGTATGTGGACAGTCCAACCCGTGCCCTTTCGTCTGGCAGGCCGATTAGCTGTGGAGGGGAGTCGCGTGCAGGGAGGGGAGGAGGGGGGGAGGAGAGGGGGGGGGAGTGGGAGAAGAGTTGGATCAGATTTGAAGCCTGTTCTGTGTTTTTGCTTGCTTGACAACAGGCTGGGATATTATGACTCTTATGAGTTTGATGCCTTATCGATTGGGGTGCTGCCTAGCGCAGTGGGTACACCCATGAGCTGTTGAAATTTTAGACCTGAGTTCGAATCCAGATCGGAGTGGATGAACGAGTTCTGAAATGCATGGCGCCGGTCAGTTCCTCGTTGATATCGCAAGGCCGGTGCTCTTTTAAAGGATTTGGGCGCTGGCATTTCAACTGGGAAGTGGTGGTTGGAGACAGTGGTGGCTTAACTGTGCTTGGGGCTGGTCTTCAGCAAACGAGCTTTTGGGCATGAGGTTTTTGGGACCCTTTTTGGGAGCGGTTTCAGGTTGTACTGGTACTGGGACTGGGTTTGGGTGCTGGAGTTTGGACTTGGAAGTTTTCTTGGAGGAAGTTTTCTTGGAAGATTCTTGGGGAGAAAGTAGTGGTGGTCTATCTCAGAGGAGGTTTGGGCTTTGGACCGGTCTAGTTCAGATGAGGTTTTGGGACGGGTTGTGGGACCAGTTTTAGGACCGTCTTTGAAAGGGACTGCTTTTGGGACTCTAGGTGTTTGGGACCTTTGGGACGGGTTGTGGGACCAGTTTTAGGACCGTCTTTGAAAGGGACTGGTTTTGGGACTAGGTGTTTGGGACCTTTGGGATGGGTTGTGGGACCAGTTTTAGGACCGTCTTTGAAAGGGACTGGTTTTGGGACTCTAGGTGTTTGGGACCTTTGGGATGGATGCACTGGAGTTTCAAACTGTGAAGATGCTTGGAGAAGGTGGCGGCCTAGCTGGGTGTCTATGATGGACTCTGAGATGGTGGATTCGTCAGTGGAAATTTGTGATGCTACACGTAGTGCTGCCATTTGCGCCCGTTGGATTGGTGGACTCTGAGATGATAGATTCGTCGGCAGAAATTTGTGATGCTACACGTAGTGCTGCCGTTTGGGGCCGTTGGATTGGGGCCATGGGAGCGAGCGACCAGATCTGGCCGTCTAGACCATGGAGCCAGACGGGCGGCAGGGTCTCCGATGGTCGGACGATGATTATCTTGTGTATGAGCTCATGCTGAAGTGGTGAAGCGAGTGCTAATGAAGCCAGTGCTAAAAGTGTTAGTCGAAGATTTACGATTATAGGTAGTGTCTCTCGGAGTCCGCTGCATGGAAATTCTTGATCGGGAAAGTTTGCAGCTGGCTGAGAGATTCTGAAACACCGTTCGAGGGGAGATGCGGATGGTCGTCTCCCAAGTAGGATATTAATGGCCTTGGAAGGAAGACACAGAGAGAGAGAGAGAGAGGGAGAGAGAGAGAGAGTATAAATAGCGCTGATCTGCAAGGATTCGGTTATGAAGTCCTGAAGATCAGCTAGCTGTTTCTAGAACTTTCTACTCCAAAAGTCTCCAGCTCATAGCTATTCTTTTGAGTCTTGATAGTTTTCTACTTTTGTTTTCCTAAAAAGGAATCTGCTTTTGATTTTTTATCAAAGTGTATCTTTTGAAATATCAATTCTTTTAGGAGATGGATGTGATCTTCTTTCGGTTGACGAAGAAGAGAATTCTCATCAAGAGCAGCACTGAGATATGCTGTTTGTTAGCAAAGCAAAAATGCCTGCTGTGTTAAATACGACGCGGAAGAGTCTTGTGAGAGATCTGGAGGTATTTCCACCTGAAGAAATGCATGAAGAGCGCGTCGTGAGTTCAAGCAGCACTCCCTGGAGCAGCGACACCACATCATCATGAAATGGAAAAGCCGAGACTCGAGACTGGACGGCAGCTCCTCTTCGTGTGGGCACGAAATGTGTGCTTTGTGCTTGCATGTTTGCATCTGTATGTCTAGTTGGGAGTGTGGTTGCAATAGTGTGTGTGCGCGTGCGCGCGCACTTGTGTGTGTCCCT